GGTGTGGGTGTGGGTGTGGGTGTGGGTGTGGGTGTGGGTGTGAGTGTTGGTGTAGGTGTTAGTCTTCTCTTCACCCATACCCACCCACCCACACTCACACCTACACACCCACCCACACCCCACACCCTAGATTTACTCGATATTTATGCTTATTATTCATATTATCATGCTGACCAACATTACTTGTGACAATAACATCTTTTAATCTAGATGATACTGTTTTAATTCTTCGTTCGTTTGGTGGTGATGGCAGATGAACGAAAACATGTACTAAATATATTATCCTTTCTGTTCAGTTATAAAAAAAACTCGTTCTTTTTTCACTTCTTGAGTACAAATTCATCGGCAATAGCATCATCAACATCGTGATAATAGGTAAATTTTAAATAGGTTCGATTCGCCCATAATTGTGTGTATCCATATTGTTCATCATGATAGATACTCCATTCAGCACCTGTATATGGATAAGAAACTAAATCTTGTCCAGCCATACCAATTAAAATCTGCGTAATACCATCATCAACACATCTATGTTGATACATTGGACAAGTTCGCTCATACGAATGTATATGAGCATAAAGATTAATATCAACATGATATTTGTAAAATAATGGTTCTAAATATAATTGTAACATTAATATAATAAAATAAGGTTTTGGAATTATTTGTGATGAATACATTGGACGATGTGAACTGACAATAAGCCATGGTGTATGAGAACGATTCACTGATTGTAGATCTTGTTCTAACCAAATATATTGTGATGAACCACGGTGAAAGTCATGTTCAGCTGAAAATATTACAAAATGAATGGGACCAACATCAAAACTATACCAAAATAGACCGTTGCCATTCGATGGAGAATGAAAACGTCGCACCATGGGAACGGCACATTCACCACCAGAATCAGTACCATAATCACCCCTTAAAAAAATGATATTGTTACAAAAGAAAATAAATAATGAAAATGAAAAGTCACTTACCATTTTGGACGAAATCCACCGGGACCTGGTGCACCACTTGGGTCTTTATCACCGCCAGTAACATGATCATATTCATGATTTCCAATACTGACCATATATGGTACATGAGATGCAATTGATTCTATTTGAGTCATGAATGAATCCCATAAAATAGCGATACCCATAGCATAACTAATATCACCAATATGTAATAGACAAGTGATATTAGTCGATATGACTCGTGCTCGTACTCGATCAATGGTTGATTTAGCACCTGATGCGAATGGTGCCAATCCCATATCACCATAGGCAATAAGGATCACTTCGGAATCTCCATTTGCTGGACGATTAGTGAATGAATAGACTGATGACCAGCCATCTTCATCAGTACCGACTCGATAGAAATACGTAGTTGACGGATGAAGATCATTGAGTAAAATCGTATGCATAAAACCAGGATCGATAAAGTTTTGTGGGCCCCATATAGTAGCTCTACCTTCACACATGTCCGATGCCGTATAAGTCAATGTCGTACCATTAGCCTGCCATTCTAGTGACGATGGATTCAATCCATATTGACATCGTGGTGTATAAGCATTTGAATTAGTAACAAAAGAAACAAACATTTGATCGATTAGATTACCATATGCTAAATGAATCTGTGTTGGTTCGTTATAGTTAAGAGGTTGAACAACGGATGATTTGGCGGCAAACGAATAGTTACCGGAGCAATTCTGATTGCGTGAATAATAACGAAATTCAAGTGGTCGACGTAAATTGACCATATCCCATGATGCACTAGTCTGATTTTGCACAAACTCGTAGCCAATATAATCACAAGCACCTGATAAAAAAAACAGAAAAAATGCACGTCAATACTATAATATAGAGAAAAATTTGACTTCTAATAACAATCGGTTCTTTTTTCTGGCTCATCATACATAAATACCATATATACCTGTAAGAATCGGTGTTTCTACAAAATAGATGCCGATGAAATCATCTTGACATGAGTTTAATATTGGCGGCCAAGTTACTTCAATTTCTTCCATGCTAACATACAATGTAGTTGAAACATTCAAATGACTGATGGACACAGGTGAAATTGAATCTGAAGATGTAGAGATACCAATGCTACGATTGCAAGGATATAGTTCATCCTTGATAGAGTGACGATTTCTAAAAGCCCAATTAACATTTAAATGATAATCTGTAGCGGCAACAAAAACCAGAAAAATAAGAAGAAAGGCAACACACACTTTTCTATAGAACGACATTGTGGTGTTATATTGTGATATCTCACCTGCATTTGTAAATATATCATATAAATATGTCAATAACAGGCTGATAATACATCTTTCTATCTTATATAAGATATCTGGAGAGTGCGTCAGCTTTTTATTAAGTGAATATGTGTGTATGGGAGCATTATATACGCACTCACATCTTTGTTTTTACCTAAAATTTTTCTCAAAGATACATACATATTCTGATTGAGCACCGAATTCTGAATAGAATAACATAGCTTTTTCCTTCAAAATTCGACTTTAGTATTTATGTCTGAGATACAACTCTGTATCCTCCCAACAAAACATCTAACAAATTTTTATGATATGCACGTCCATTATTGCAGAATTCCGAATTGATTTCGAATCTGTTGTTTGTTTTTCATTAGAATGACTTTTCAGGAAAAAAAAGCTATTTCATTATATCATGTTGACAACAGAGACGTGCACCGCACCTAAAAATCGACCGACGGCGGCGGAAAATATGAGTCATACTGTCAAAAAGTGACGGCGGTACGGACCGCTCCGTAAGCCTTTTTGCCGAGCGGAGCGGCCGCACCATCCTTCTTCCAAAGGGTTCTACGGTGCGGCCGCTCCGTCGAGCGGCCGTCCGATAACCACCGAGCGGCCGCTCGGGACTTACTGAAGTTCTTTGTCATTATTTGTTTCGTAGGTTTATTACAAATTTTTAAATAAATACTGCGTAATTTATTGATCCCATGAGCTCGTTTGAATGTAACCAATAAGTCTAGAAGTAGATCGAGCGATGGGAGAGATTATTAGAAAATATTGCGATAATGGCAGAGAAGATGATAGCTTTTAAAGAATAATGATAATGATGGCAATTACTGTAGGTAATTTTATCACAAAAAGATGGACAGAACATGAATACCATAAAGAAAAGAAGACGATAATTAAAGTATGCTACATCTGAGAGAAGAAATTATTAGATAAATTTTCCTTGTTGACTTTCATATTTATTCTTTATAATAAATAGTAATTTTAGGTCCAGAAAATCATATAGTCGTAGTTATTTACACGAATATAAAAAAAGAAAACAAAAAAGAAATAAGAATTTTTTTATATTCATCTGAATTAGTTTTCAATAAAAATTCAATTTGATTTTTCATGTGCATAACCTCTTGATTTTCTTTGTCATCAATATCATCTAGCTTTTCAAATAATACTTGACTATTCGTTGATTCTGATGCTTTAGCTTGTTTCGTAGAATAGACTTCGATAATTGATTCAGTATTAATACCACTAGACATCATAGATTTAAAATTCCATTTGCTAAACGACTAAAGGCTGACGAATGTGCAACTGATTGTTCTAGAAAATAACAGGATTTTATATTTTTCTTTCTATATTACTAGACAAAGATCATATGATGAAATTCGTAAATGGAAAGAACGAACAATGACTAAATGAACAAGAAAGTTAATTTTTAATAGTATAATTTATGAACCAATGCAGTCACAGAGTAAATTTACAGTAAAGAGGGAGATATAATACAAATGAGTTACACAAGTGAAATGGTAAAATATAATGGAAAAAGAAAAAGTGGAAGTCAACAGTCTATCTATGTAGCATTTGTAATGAAAGGAAAAAATGCATAAATGGTACCATAGAACACCTAGTATAAAACAATTATATTTTTAGAATCGAAATCTATCTAGCACAGATTTTTAAAATGATCTTTATATTAAATATGAGTACGAAGCCAATGCTTCGTTATTTATCATTGTTATTTAAGAGAAACACGACACCAATATTGCTGCACGATATTAATAGCAGCTTAGGTTTGTCGATTTCAACTTCAGGAGATATTCCCTTACAAAATGGTCAAATTAAGATCAAGCGGCCGCTCGAGCGGTAAATGAGACGCAGACGGCCGCTCCGCACCAGTCCCGCACGTAAAATTCGAAAGCGGTGCGGCCGCACCCATATAAGTTATACTTCTCAGAGCGGGACGGACGGACCGCGCGAGCGGTGCGGCCGCTCCGCACCCGCACTCCGCATCCGCGCGAGCGGTGCACGTCTCTGGTTGACAACAAGCACTATCTACTTTGTTTGCGCAACCAAGCCCAACAACATTGTCAGAATATCTAAAAAAACCGTCGGGTAGTCCACTGGTAACGTTTTGCAGTTAAAGGGTGTAGGTGTGTCGATGAGAAAAAGATTATTACTTAAACTCACATCCGTATTCAGAATTTTACTTGTTGTGACTAGTTATGATGCTTATTAAAATTGACCGCTCAATCTATGTTTTATTCTGTTGATATGAAAAGTCGTATAAAGAAACATGACAAAACACAATTTTTGAATTTTTCAATAGGCATGATAATCCAGATAATCCTTTAGAGGGTTGTAAAATACAAAGGATCTTCAAAACCACAAATCAATGAATGGTATTATTCAGTTAAAATTTTAATTCAAGCAAATATGTTATGTGAGCTAAGAAAAGAATTTGCATTTATTCGAGAAGAAAATATAATCCATCGGAACTCTTACACAAGTTCCCATTAGCTTTGAGTAATGTCAAAATTTCTCCTTTTGTTCGAATATTTTCCAGATAAATTTTTGTTTGACGATTATTGTTATTAATCTCAATGTTTGTCACACGAAAAAAAATGTCATTGGTAAAATGAGAACTTCATGTTCATTTTCATAGTCAAATATTGCAGGTAGATTTTGTGATACACTATATAGTTGAATAGCTGTATCACATTTTTTTCTAAAATTGAAAACCATCATTACACTTATTTTGTCTTCAGAAACATTCACATTGAAATTCGATACTATATTTTCATCAATTGATGATGAACAGAACGTCTCTCTCATAAGAACACTTTCTTTCTGTTTTAAAGCCCATTTATATAGTTTTAGGTCGTTTTCATTCATAGATAAATCACGATTTGAAGTTTCTTGAAAGGCACGACTTTTTAATGAGTCCAGATGTGAAAGAAAACTACTGGTGTTATCAAATAATGTGATTGTTGATCTGCTCCAAGATATCAATAAAATGGTGTTTCAACTGAATTGAAACGTAGAAGATATTCAATTTGTTTGAATTTACCGTATTTTGAAAGAAGCTCACATGGTTTTTTTTATTCTCAGGATGTGATGAAGTCAAATACTTGTCGAGAAGATGTTGCAATTCTTCGATGGCTAATTTTTGATTGTATGCAAAATCTTTTAGATGTAGAATATTCATGAACGATGAGCGAAGAATAGTTGAGCTCACCATATATTTGCCCACATGAGAAAGTGCTTGGAAACCGCGAATAATAGTTTCATCATTTACTATTCTCTGTTGCATGTTCAACATGTGTATTGAATAGTTGTCCGATATCATTTACTGTTTTAGTAGCAAAGCATTGTGAACCAGGTGATCGATGAAATAGTTCCCGAATCTGATTAGTTTTTGTCTCTTCATATGCAGTGTAACTGATCATGATTTCTTTGATGCTGAAAAATTCCATTTTAAAGAAGAAATCAAACGATATAAACATAATCATAATATAAAGTTGCCTGTAAACCAGTATTTCCTTTCGACTCGGGACAATTAATATCGATAAATTTTGATGACGAAAAAATATTTTTAACTAAATCGAAATCATCATTTCGACATGTCCAGTAAAAGTTCGAAACTTTTTCTTTTTGAGGATGATAAAAAAATCAATTCTTTTTTCTCTTCTTCACTTGTTACATTTCCCATTTGTAGTAAACAAAGAAATATCAATTCAATTATTTTAAAATAAAATTTTTAGTGATAAAGAATACAGTTATTGTTGTAATTTATGTTACATTTTCTCTTATTTAACAAAATAGATTCAGTTTTTCTTTTATGTCACGACAGTAATGTTTAAATGAAAAGTTAACAAAAATGAGACATTATTGCTGATAAATGATAGAAATGCGAGAAAAACAACATCGATCGAAAGTTCTACATCTGACTTAATGTAAATAGAAAAAAAAATACTCATTTCGACAGTCAACAATTTATTAAAATATTATTCATTCGTCGTCTCCTCGTTGTACTGTCAACATAAGAAAAAAGAAAACAAATTTTGCATGAAATGAAATGTGCTTGCTTTTTTTACAACGCCATAAATATAGAGCGTATTCTGCCTGTTATTTTTCTTTTTATACAAAATTGTCGAACAATTTTATATTATAAATAATTACTTGTATTCGTTCGAGAATGAGTCTTTTGACGTATAAATGCGTCGACAATTTATAAAGAATTACTGGTTTTATTCAAATCTCAAAATTCATAAGAGATACTCAAAAATCTTATGAACATCAATGTTTTTATCAAATCATTGAATCATCATACCATTCATTTTTCGATAACTCACTTAATGTGTTTCTGTATCTTCGAATTTGAAAATTTTGCTCGACCTAATGATCAAATACGATGTTCATCTGATAACGAGAGGTAGATATCATGAAAATCTCTTTTCATCGAACATTATTCATCACAAAGACTGATGATTGTTTGTCAAACTTTTGAATTTTTAATTACCAATTATATTGAAGAATTCAATCAAAAAATTCTTCACAATTAGCATCAGATTAACCTATTGTCTAGTTCTAACCATATTTTAGTCTTCTAAAAACAAAGATGTCATTCTGAACCTTGAAATCTTCTACATTTAGATACTATTTTAAGAACTTTTAAAGGTTCTAGCTTACTAGAAAATAATCCATTCAATATACTTAATCTATTAGTTTTATAAATAACTGTAGGATGTGAATATAGGTGGATACAGTTCTACTCTTTACTCATACTTACATCCACGATTTCTCAATCAATTTATAATGTGTTCTAAAAAAGATAACTCAAAATCTATTGTTTTTTCTATGTTTTTTTTTGTTTATTTAAGCATCTACGATGTCTACATTAATGGGAAAAGATTTGTTCCAACGTATAAGCAGTTTCAATAACGAATATTACTGTATAATTGAAAAGATTGAATTTTATCCAGGCATTATTCGTATTTATATTGATGAACGAGGTGATAATTCACTTGGTATGATATCTTCTAAATTAATCAAAAGAAAAGATTCTTTATAACTATTATTTATTATGTATAGGACCTATTCAAAATCCAATGAGTTCAGCATTGAGTATTCTAAATAAATCCTCGCTATCAAAAACTAAAAATCCGATTGATGGAAAATTTTCTATCAACGACGAATCTCAACAATACTTAGGTAAGCATAATCTTTTCTTTATTTCAATTGTATACATATTCTGATTAATAGGTTATCTCGATTTTCCATTAGATAATTCATTTTTAACAAGTCAAAACATAATTGGCTTTCAATATGGTGGTTTCGGTTATTCAACGGCAAAACTCTTTCGGTTCGATCAGGAATTAGTCAATAGATATCATATCCAATTAGCATAGCTTTTGAATAATGTATTCAATTGGCAAGAAATTTGCGATTTTCGTTCCTCTTTTCTATTTTTTTTGTGAAATCATTATCATCAAAAGATTTATATTTATCTCTATCTCTTGACTAGTTTATTTGATAAACCATTCTGTATTCAATCAAATAAATGTCGACTTTCTTTCTTCATGCTCATGCACACTTAAATTATCTACAGTATCTAGATTAGGTTCATTCTTATGACTGTCTTGATTTGTCATAGAAACCTGTTTTTTCAAACACTGACAATTTTATGTATAGTTCATATAGACATTGTAAACGGCTTTTCGCTCTATTTCTCATATTTTCAACAGAAAAATAACTTCTATTGTTTGATTGCGAATGAAAAAAATAAGACACTTACAAAAGATCAAATGGTCCTGAAAACTATTTATAGAAGACGTATACTATTACATGTGAAATAAATAACATATAGGTGTAGATTGTAAATGTCAGTGCTTCTGTACTTATATGATTATTACTTTATGGTTTCTGAATAAAGTATGAATTCTTGTTTTGAATCGATAATAATCACAGATGTAACAGTGGATAATTAAATAACAAATAGAAAAGTACTCATAATTACATTTTCAATCACATCTTACTCACGCCCCATCATACAAAAATAGATTTGATCCTGTGTGATTCCCAGAAGTAAAGATATATATTCAATAAATTTATTAATGACCTTTGTTAGACAGTCAACTATTTGCTTGTTTTTGAATCAAGAATCGACTAACCATAACTAGATCAACGATACACAACTTTAGGCATTACATCTTTATCATGTTAAATTCAAACCTATGTGTTTAATTTTATAACTTATTGGTAGTTTTTTGTGCGTGCATTTTATTCTAAACAATCATTTTCGTATGAACAAATAGATCTGGAAAAAGAGAGTTGCTCTAAATGTGAATGCAGAACAAAGATCAGATCATTCACTATATTGAAAAAAGTGTGAGTAATTGAAGATAATGTTCAGAGTGCTCTTGAATTTCTCAATCCTTGTTTTTTTTTTCTTTGGATTATTTATCTCGATTAATCGTAGAAGTTTTCTCAAAACATAATGAGTAATTCGATTCCTTCCCATAGTTAAAAAAGAAAAGAAACTTAGAGAAAATTTGAAAGATGTGGGTATCGATGAAAATTATTGAATGTAGAAAAACTCCTAGGTACACTCGTTCTCGTTCGATAATTTGTAAAAAAAAACAAGATACTAGAAAAATAATTCATATGTTTTTTTTCTTTTTTATTGCCTAAACAAAGTATACATTAAGATTTCGAACAAATTGTTTATAGAATCTCTCATTTCAAGATCAACTTTTCTCTTTTGATGTTTTCTGTTATCGTATTTTATTTTATTATTTATTTTTATATTTAATATTTCTCTTAATAAACAAATGAATGTAATTGATATGATAAATTCAACAAAAGAAAAAACGAATCATATAAAAATATAATTTAGATTCTTTGTTTATTTATCATCCTAACAGAGTCATAATCACATCGAAATTATAGATTTTGTTATCATGCTGAATGTAATATTATTCTCTATCTAAATTGGATAAGCATAATTCGATCGTTTTGAATTTTTATGATGATACTGATTGCATGTGCAACGAATGATCTTTGTTTATTATGCAAGAAATTTCATTCTCAATAACTTTTTGATCAATTAGGATACATTAAAAATAGTTTATTAAAAACTTAACCATATGCTATGTTATGCATCCTAACAGGCACCTTATTGCAAATTATGTCATTGTAGATTTTTTTTATTTCTTTCGAAGGTATTAATGTGTAGTTGTATATCTCTTAGTTACACGGTACATTCACACAAAGCCACACTCACCCTTTTAAAGTTTCATAAATATCATTTGAGTCTTAAAAAAACGAGAATAAATTCATTTTTATATGTTAAAATATATAAATCGATTTATTTCAAATATTTATATATTAATCGATTCATCTATCAAACATCAAATAAATGTTGTTTTCTTTTTTAAATATATCTAACATCGAATGACAACAAAACATCATTGTTTTCATGTATCGAACATCAAGTAGGTTATTTATTAATAGAATGAAGTGAAAAATCAATATAATATTTGTTGAATAGAATGCTAATTTATTTTAAGGATGTTTAAAAAGCTGAGCAGTCAATGATATTATATTAACATATCTATTATTTATTGATAGATTCATTTCTACACTTATGACTTTTAGTTATGTGTAATTAAATTACTTGTAAAAGAAAACGATAAGAATTGAAATAACTGGAATAAATGAAAATGTTATGTAAAAAAAAAAGTATGGTTGTTTTTATCATCGAACTTTTTGTTAATACAAAAAGAAAGAATCACATATATATATATACAATTTAGCGTAATTTCTAATGTTTCATCGAATAGAACCTTTATATTCAAAGGAAAAGTACAATACCGTCAAAATCAAGAGATACTTTCGAGAAAGCCTTGAAAATTAAGTTTAGCTTAAGGAGACACTAGTTTTTTATGATGTAAATTGTACCGATAAATCAATAATAAAAATGGATAAAATATAAACATTATTTGTATGAACATGTTCAAAGAAAAATAAAAAACAAAACATGAAAAATTCAGTCAATAGTATCTATTTCTGTAAACATACTAGAATAATAATGCAATTTAGTTTTAATCATATTATATCAATAATTATGATATTTCTCAAGGAGAAATGAATATTAACTAAATGTTTTGAAGAAAATTTCTCATAATCATACCATAGTATTAATAGTTATAGATTATTTCTAATATTAGTTTGTCTAATATAATACATCTTTATTCTAATTATTTATAGTAGTGATAGTCAAGAGTCTATTGAAAATTCTAATCTGTTAAGATTATCTATAATAGAAGATAGTCATATGAAATAAAAAATTAAAAAGAGAATTTTCTTATTAGAAAATAAATAAGTAGTCATAATAAATAAGAAAAGTGTCAATAAAATGAAGTATATCATGACAAAACTTTTTTCAGACATATATGTTCAATATCTTTATAAATTTATATTTTTTTAAAAGTATGATCGATCAGTATCCAAAAGAAAAAAACTTGAATATCTATCAATGATAAGGTAAACAATGAATCATTCTTGGTTTAATAAATGTATATATATATATATATATATATATATATATATAATATTATAAAGAATAAGGTATTCTTATTCAATATAAAAATAAATATTCGCCATGCATGACAACGTTTATCGAAAATGAAACCAAGCATTTTGATTGATCATGACAAATAAGTATTGTTTGTGATGAATGCATGCATACATATTTTTTTGTTTTATATATGACTAATTCTATTGCGATGGATAAATGTATAAATATAAATTAAATGGCTATAATATTATAAATATTTATATATTCTAAAATAACTAATCTGCTAATCGTGATTGTAAACTCAACAGTCAAAAATGGCTATGATCATCAAATCATTGTATTACATTGTTCTATTGATAGTATTAGTGATAATTTGTATGACAAGTTTAGCATTGGCAATAGAAGAAAATTATAATGCTAATATGAATCGTCATTATAGTCTACGTGAAATAATAAAAGCATATATAGTGAAACGTACTATTAAATATTTATAAGCAACGTATATCCTTAAGTACATGAGTAATAAAAAATTTTTGTTTTCAAGTAACCAGAATATTTGAATAAAACTGTCCTTCTTTGAAGAAATTTTCTATCATATAATTTTTGATCATATAATTGATTCGAAATATTTTCTTTTCATTGAATTAAAATATTTGATCAGAATGTTATTTTAAAATATACGTTTACTATGTAATCTTTTAACAAAATTATTGAATGTAAAGTTTTCTTTTGAAAACTATCAAAATATTTGACTAAACTAATCCTTTGAAGTAATCATTTATTATGTCGTCTTCTATAGATTACTTAATTTGAATAATCGTTTCTGAGTAAATGTAATATTTCAATAAATTATTATTAAATATCATTTCTTTTCAATTTTATCTACAATTAAGTTAATAATTCGAATATTTCATTTTGGAGTCACCATTATATCTATATAAATCATTCCTCCTCCTTTGAAATATTTATTTCGTATATGATTTTCGATCATACTAGTGACAATAGATATTTGCATAAGGATGATCAAAATTTGCGAATAATACATTTGAAATATTCATTTGATATGTCATTACCGATCACTTGAACAGTATTAAATATTCGTTTAAAAATGAAGAAAATCTTTGAAGAAGGTATTGAACGTACAAAGTATTCATTTTACATTTGATTATCAATCATATAATAAGATTGAGATATTTCTTTGAAGATTATCAACATATATATATATGAAATGATCCTGTTATAAAATAGTCACGCATGATATAATCTTTGATTAACTATAAAATTGTAAGTTTTCTTTCGATATTACTAAAATAGGGATATAAAACTTTCCTAGTAAGAAATACTTAATAGCCAGATAATCTTTGTTCATATTATTGATTTCCAATCATTCTTATAAAACGACAAAGAATATTTGAATGAAATCCTTTTTAAGTATTTATTTTATGTATGTTGTTCGATCATATTACTAAATCAAGTGATCCAAAAATTTGAATATTTCATTGGATAGAATTTGTCATTTCATATGTTATATTTAATCGAACTATGTCAACTAAATGTTCAATTCAATATGACTAAAGTATCGGAATAGAGTTTTAATATATTGACTTATTCATTTTGTACATAATCTTCGAAAATGTTTTTGTCTCTAAATCTTTTCTTAGAAGCAAGAAAACTATCAGTATGAATCATTTCTTCAATTTGTTCATTTATTTAGTTAGTTTTGATCGTATTAAGAAGTGGATTAAGCATTTTGAACAGAATAAAAACATATATGAATAACACAACCTCGATAAATACATAAACGTAAATTCTTTTTTTTTTTTCAATACT